CCCGTAGTGTCACTCTCCCTTTCTGGGCTGGACGAACACGTTACGCCTTCGGTTCCGGGCAGAATCCTTACTTCGTTCCTCTCCATCGCAATTCTCCGCGCATGCCAACCATGCGCAAACTCCCGCAGCCGGCCAAAGCTCTCCTTACCGTCCACGAGGTCCGGGTAGTAAACCGGACCCACCCCTCTGCGTACCATTCCGTCCATCATCTTACATCTCAGGTCATCATACAATTCGCACTCCCATAGCACGTGATGCCTATCCTCATAGGCAGCACCGCAATCACACATACCAGATTCAACCAATTTCATGTCATGCAGTCTCTTTCGAAAACATCCATGCCCACTGAGTATCTGCGAGACTTGATAGTCCGGCACGACCCAATTCGCATTGAGCCGCGCCGACACGTCCGGGAAGAAGCAGAATAACTCTCTTCCATTCGTCTCGTTCATCCATCGTTCCTGCCATACATCCATAACTTCAACCCAGATTTCGCGCTTACGCCTGCTCAACTCCCCATTCTCAACGTTTCTACGCGCCTGGTCAATCCTACCAACACGAGTTACCTCCAGATCGGCCGGCAGGACGCCGGCTAATACCGGGAGCGCCGCAGTACTTATCGTCCTGTACCCCTTTGTCAACAGCACGAGCGAAGATCTCTGCGATCTCAGCAGTGCCGTTCGCACTGTATAGTTCCCCACCCGATCAACCCAAACGGCTGCAGCATATGTCACTATTGGAACATATGTACCCTTATATAGAACACGGAGTGCGGGGTAGCGTATGCCCCAAGAAGATGCCGACACCCGCGACATCTTCCCAAAGCATCGCCCAGCCCTCTCTCCCATATCTTTGGCGTGCTGAATAAAGAACAGACTCGTGTCTAACGTGACACCCAATACCTTGGTCGACGTTACGCTTTTAACTGACTCAGTCCCCATCCTTATAACAGGTGGTCGCTGGAACTTGCCTTTAATGGTCATGGTACATGACTTCGCGGAGGAGAAGGATAACCGGTTCCTCTCTCCCCACGATGATACCAACTCCAGTGCAGATTTGGCCGCTCTCTCTATTTCAGCTCTAGAGTTCGCCTCTATCAAAAGTGTCACGTCGTCTGCATACGCCAACATTTTCGTCCCTAAGGGGAACGGCAGCCTCAACAAGTCATCCAGCAGTAAATTCCACAAGGTCGGTCCAAGGACCGATCCTTGCGGGCAACCCATGGTCGAGCGTTTCCATTCGGCACAGTCACCCACGAATATACCCACTCGCCTGTTGGTGAAATAGTCCACCAACATGCGGTAGATATTAGGTGGAATCCCTCCTTGTTTTGCCTTCAGCAGTATCATTGGCCACCATGCATTATCAAATGCTCCTGATATGTCCAAAAAGACGGCTTGTACATACTTGCGCTGCGACTCGCGCGCAGTACTAAGCACGTCTTGCAGCGCCGTTACCGTGGACCGACCCGGCGAAAACCCGTGCTGGTATTCCGATATGCCCCTCACCAAGCTCGGAGCACACCGCAGCAGAACTCGCTCCAGCAACTTCCCAAAGATGGGGAGGAGCGTAATCGGGCGGTAGGCCTTGGGATCTGTTAATGGCCTATCATTACCTTTCGGAATAACTATCAGCCGTCCTTTCTTCCATACTTCGGGGAAAACCCCCTCTTCCACACATTTGGCATACACCCAGTGGAATTCCCTAGGTGCAGCTCTCCACACATTCTTAACAATTTTGGCACCAATCCCGTCCAGTCCCGGAGCAGTGTTGGGCAACGCCCTGACTATACCCCCCAAACACCCAATGGTTGGGGGAACGGCAGCCGATCCAGATGGGGTGAAGGCGGCCATGAGACGCACCCGCCCATGAAACTCAGTGTCCTTGGACGAATCATCGTCCGGACACAGAGCCCCGAGCAGGCCCCGCACGGCCTCCCTCACCCCCCCCGAATGTCGCTCCGCGTACTCAATGGCATTAATGATATTACTGGGAGGACGATATCTCCCGCTAGAGATCTGATATGCACGTCCCCATGGGTCAGCATTTCCCATCTCCGAGATTTTTCTAAAATGGGCCAATTCCGTATCCCCCATCAACTGTCTATATCGCGTTCTCACACTATGGAATCGTTCCATGGCTAATTCCTCAGACCTGCCTCCTTTTCTTCTAGTCTTTTGCCATGCCCTTCTCGCATCACATACTTTTTTCCTCATTCTGTCAAGTTCAGGCGTCCACCACTCATAGCCGACCTCCCGTCTAGGGCGAGCACTCCCCAGGACATCTTCCGCAGATCGAACCACAATGTCAGTGAACTGCACACAAAGACGATCAGCCGGCTGCCTTACTTTCAATGCGCCCATTCGTACATGAATAGTTCCACGAAAGAAGCCCCAGTTCACCCCCCGGTCCCGAAAACGGGCAGGGACCTCCACCGGCCCCGGGAGCCTCGCATGTGGTTCTCCTCCAACTTTGTATATTATGAGCCGATGGTCGCTCGAGCTGACGCAGTCCAGGACTCGCCACCCTGTGATCGAGACTCCTCTGGAGGAAAGAGTGACATCTATATTGGACTCACCCATTGCACCCGAAAAGGTGCTCGGTTGGCCTTCCACGTTGACTATCACCAATCCCCGCGACGTTATAAAATCCTCCATGGCAGTACGACGGTAAGCAGCTTCATGGCCCCTACCTACGATCTGTTCAGCCTCACTGAACCAGAGTGGCGAGTGCGCGTTGCAATCCACTCCAATTACAACGCGCTTGCCTTTCAACTGGTCAAGTACGGTCTCTAGATGTTGCAGGTGATAATCAATGTTATGGCTATATTTAAAATAAGCCGAGACGACGTAGAGACCGTACTTCTCCACATGGCACACTACACAGTAGGGATTACTTAGGTGAGGCAATCCAGCCACACCCAAATTTCCGTTGCAGACCTTGATACCAGCCTGCGATCCATCGCCGAAGTGTACTACTTCCTGCACCTGCGGCCACTGTTCCTGGACTAGGAAAATATCCAAGTCCAGGTCCCTCGCAAGTGCAGGGAGCTCCTTGGTGGCCATCTCGCCGCGCCCCAAATTGAGCTGTCCAATTGATAAGTAATTTTTATCCGCCATACTGTGTAGTATTGACCGCCCTCTCCTCCGCGTACACCCTAGCCGGGCACGTCTTCGCCATCGTGGCATGGTTCCTTGCGCCCGGCTTGCCAAACCTGCGACAAGTAGCACAGCAAGTGTCGGCTGATTTGCAGGCCTCTCGGCTGTGACCCTCTTCTCCACATTTGCCGCATGTCTCCTCTTTTGCCCTGCAATATTTAGCAGGGTGCCCGTATTGCTGGCATCGTTGGCAGCAGGTGACGTCTATAAAATCACACGGCTCGACCACGTCCCACCCTATGTAAAGTCTATACCTGGCGGTCAGCACATCCCGCAGCGCAGGGGTGCACTGTAGCACCACCGTGGTCCTTCTGCTCCCCTTCCAAGATTTCTTGAATGCAATTTTGCACTGCTTCTTCAGCTCCTCCAGGGTCCACTTTTCATCCCCACCAAAGTTCTGGTCGTGGAGGGCCGGCAGGACTTCTTCTGACTTTACGTCATCCTCGAAGCCACGCAACGCAACCAATGGTTGGCGCTGTCGAGGCTCTGCAACCCTTAAGGTAGGTGGTGCTGCAGTTCTCAGTTTCTGTGCTGACTCCTTGGACGTGGTCTGGACCACAACCCCAGCATTTCCAATCTTCCTTAGCTTAGAGACCTGAATATTGATCTCAGATGGATTAATTGCCTTTTTCAACTCAGCTTTGGTATCGTCTGCTGTCTTGAGGTGTTCTTGCTCGTCGGCTGGGTAAAAGGCGAGAACCGGACCAGACTTCTCCGGCATAGGCATGGCAGCAACGCCCTTTGGCATCCTTAATGCTGCTGCAAATGTTGGACCTGCGGCTGGGGCGTGGTCACCGTCACCTGAGGGTATACACGCGGCCACCTGGCGCGCCAGCTTCGCTTCTGCTTCTGCTTTGTCCCGCTCAGCTTTGCAAAGCGCAAGCTGAGCCTCCATAACATGTACCTGCATCGCCGCCATCATTGCAATCATGTCCTGCCCGGTTACCGAAACTTTGTTTACCTCCATTTTATTCAATTTGGATCCTGGACCAGAGACGATTCCCATGATCGTATTTACTGCCGCCCTTGTATGTTCTATTATTTGCAAGGGTGAAGCCTTGCAAGCATGAAACTCCTCCTCCATGATTTCCAGGTCCTCCTCAAGCGCTGACCTAGTCCGTTCTACAGTCACTGCGCCTGGGGCCGCAGTCCCTGCTTTCTTCTTGTCTTTTTCCTTTTCTTTTTCAATTTTTTGTCGCTGCGTCACAGGCTGCTGCTGATCCGGGGACGTTAAAGGCCGCTTTTCAGCCGTACCGCTCGAGCCACCCTTAGGGTTCGGCATACTGGGACCAGCAGGCCTCACTGAAGCCCCTCCAGGGGGCGTGCGCGCCAAAGATTTTCTTGGGACAAATAGGGGGGGTTCGTCCCCCATTTTCACAATTTCCTACTTATACTATCCAATGTCACTATTTAAGTGGTTCAGTCCAAAAAACACAAAGAAATATTTAAAAACTAAAAAGTTATGGCAGCTTTCTAACTTTGAAAATTAAGCCGCCGGAGGGGCATTTTCAATAGTCCACGTATATGAGCAGCAAAAAGGTACTAAAAATTTTAAAAATTTTCTAAGTCCGGAAAATTTTATGGTGACCCAAGTGGTCGCCAGATATATGTCAAACGCACATAAGCGCCCTCTAGCGGGACACACTCGGACTAAAACAAATATTATAAAAGTACAAAATAAATTAAAAACTAAAAGTGTCACTATCACAGCCCAGCCACGAGATGTCGCTGACTTACAACTATAGTGGCGCCATCTGGCGGCAATATCCTAAACTAATAAAAATACAACAAAACTATAGCTAAAGTGTCACTTTCACAGTTAATAGTACTTAGCTTAAACAGGTGTCGCTGAGGTGCGGACACACACCTAGCGCCACTCAGCGGCGCGCGGCGCAACAGACGCCACACCGGCCCTGCCAGGCACAGACAGCACAAACCGTAATGGTTGCGCGCACGGCGCCCGCAGATGGCGTTGCAGTGCCGGAAGTGCACACTATCACCCCCTGGCGGCGAGTAGCCACCGAAGGTTCCAGAAGGCACTCGAACGACACGACAGAAACCAATCCCAACTACCCACTAAGTAAAAATGTCACAATAATCCACAAAAGCAATCCAATTAAGCGTTAATTCGCACCAACTAACACTGATATTATACTGTACAGTAAGATAAGAGTATATATAACAAAAGCACTATAAAACAACATAAATAACTATAAATAACGCAAATAAAAAGAGAATATACGAAAACGCGAGCTCGCGACACGTCCGATCAGTACAACGACCGGAACCGAAGTCAGCCTCCGCCGGTCAGTGCTACACACGCACACACGCACATACACAAGCGTACATACACACGCTCACGCACACCGACAGCGAGCCGCGCGCCCGCGACCCGCCGCCGCCGGTCAGTGCTACACACGCACACACGCACATACACAAGCGTACATACACACGCACACGCACACCGACAGCGAGCCGCGCGCCCGCGACCCACCGCCGCCGGTCAGTGCTACACACGCACACACGCACATACACAAGCGTACATACACACGCACACGCACACCGACAGCGAGCCGCGCGCCCGCGACCCGCCGCCGCCGGTCAGTGCTACACACGCACACACGCACATACACAAGCGTACATACACACGCACACGCACACCGACAGCGAGCCGCGCGCCCGCGACCCGCCGCCGCCGGTCAGTGCTACACACGCACACACGCACATACACAAGCGTACATACACACGCACACGCACACCGACAGCGAGCCGCGCGCCCGCGACCCGCCGCCGCCGGTCAGTGCTACACACGCACACACGCACATACACAAGCGTACATACACACGCACACGCACACCGACAGCGAGCCGCGCGCCCGCGACCCGCCGCCGCCGGTCAGTGCTACACACGCACACACGCACATACACAAGCGTATATACACACGCACACGCACACCGACAGCGAGCCGCGCGCCCGCGACCCGCCGCCGCCGGTCAGTGCTACACACGCACACACGCACATACACAAGCGTACATACACACGCACACGCACACCGACAGCGAGCCGCGCGCCCGCGACCCGCCGCCGCCGGTCAGTGCTACACACGCACACACGCACATACTTAAGCGTACATATACACGCACACGCACACCGACAGCGAGCCGCGCGCCCGCGACCCGCCGCCGCCGGTCAGTGCTACACACGCACACACGCACATACACAAGCGTACATACACACGCACACGCACACCGACAGCGAGCCGCGCGCCCGCGACCCGCCGCCGCCGGTCAGTGCTACACACGCACACACGCACATACACAAGCGTACATACACACGCACACGCACACCGACAGCGAGCCGCGCGCCCGCGACCCGCCGCCGCCGGTCAGTGCTACACACGCACACACGCACATACACAAGCGTACATACACACGCACACGCACACCGACAGCGAGCCGCGCGCCCGCGACCCGCCTCCGCCGGTCAGTGCTACACACGCACACACGCACATACACAAGCGTACATACACACGCTCACGCACACCGACAGCGAGCCGCGCGCCCGCGACCCGCCGCCGCCGGTCAGTGCTACACACGCACACACGCACATACACAAGCGTACATACACACGCACACGCACACCGACAGCGAGCCGCGCGCCCGCGACCCGCCGCCGCCGGTCAGTGCTACACACGCACACACGCACATACACAAGCGTACATACACACGCACACGCACACCGACAGCGAGCCGCGCGCCCGCGACCCGCCGCCGCCGGTCAGTGCTACACACGCACACACGCACATACACAAGCGTACATACACACGCACACGCACACCGACAGCGAGCCGCGCGCCCGCGACCCGCCGCCGCCGGTCAGTGCTACACACGCACACACGCACATACACAAGCGTACATACACACGCACACGCACACCGACAGCGAGCCGCGCGCCCGCGACCCGCCGCCGCCGGTCAGTGCTACACACGCACACACGCACATACACAAGCGTACATACACACGCACACGCACACCGACAGCGAGCCGCGCGCCCGCGACCCGCCGCCGCCGGTCAGTGCTACACACGCACACACGCACATACACAAGCGTACATACACACGCACACGCACACCGACAGCGAGCCGCGCGCCCGCGACCCGCCTCCGCCGGTCAGTGCTACACACGCACACACGCACATACACAAGCGTACATACACACGCTCACGCACACCGACAGCGAGCCGCGCGCCCGCGACCCGCCGCCGCCGGTCAGTGCTACACACGCACACACGCACATACACAAGCGTACATACACACGCACACGCACACCGACAGCGAGCCGCGCGCCCGCGACCCGCCGCCGCCGGTCAGTGCTACACACGCACACACGCACATACACAAGCGTACATACACACGCACACGCACACCGACAGCGAGCCGCGCGCCCGCGACCCGCCGCCGCCGGTCAGTGCTACACACGCACACACGCACATACACAAGCGTACATACACACGCACACGCACACCGACAGCGAGCCGCGCGCCCGCGACCCGCCGCCGCCGGTCAGTGCTACACACGCACACACGCACATACACAAGCGTACATACACACGCACACGCACAAGCGTACATACACACGCACACGCACACCGACAGCGAGCCGCGCGCCCGCGACCCGCCGCCGCCGGTCAGTGCTACACACGCACACACGCACATACACAAGCGTACATACACACGCACACGCACATCGACAGCGAGCCGCGCGCCCGCGACCCGCCGCCGCCGGTCAGTGCTACACACGCACACACGCACATACACAAGCGTACATACACACGCACACGCACACCGACAGCGAGCCGCGCGCCCGCGACCCGCCGCCGCCGGTCAGTGCTACACACGCACACACGCACATACACAAGCGTACATACACACGCACACGCACACCGACAGCGAGCCGCGCGCCCGCGACCCGCCGCCGCCGGTCAGTGCTACACACGCACACACGCACATACACAAGCGTACATACACACGCACACGCACACCGACAGCGAGCCGCGCGCCAGCGACCCGCCGCCGCCGGTCAGTGCTACACACGCACACACGCACATACACAAGCGTACATACACACGCACACGCACACCGACAGCGAGCCGCGCGCCCGCGACCCGCCGCCGCCGGTCAGTGCTACACACGCACACACGCACATACACAAGCGTACATACACACGCACACGCACACCGACAGCGAGCCGCGCGCCCGCGACCCGCCGCCGCCGGTCAGTGCTACACACGCACACACGCACATACACAAGCGTACATACACACGCACACGCACACCGACAGCGAGCCGCGCGCCCGCGACCCGCCGCCGCCGGTCAGTGCTACACACGCACACACGCACATACACAAGCGTACATACACACGCACACGCACACCGACAGCGAGCCGCGCGCCCGCGACCCGCCGCCGCCGGTCAGTGCTACACACGCACACACGCACATACACAAGCGTACATACACACGCACACGCACACCGACAGCGAGCCGCGCGCCCGCGACCCGCCGCCGCCGGTCAGTGCTACACACGCACACACGCACATACACAAGCGTACATACACACGCACACGCACACCGACAGCGAGCCGCGCGCCCGCGACCCGCCGCCGCCGGTCAGTGCTACACACGCACACACGCACATACACAAGCGTACATACACACGCACACGCACACCGACAGCGAGCCGCGCGCCCGCGACCCGCCGCCGCCGGTCAGTGCTACACACGCACACACGCACATACACAAGCGTACATACACACGCACACGCACACCGACAGCGAGCCGCGCGCCCGCGACCCGCCGCCGCCGGTCAGTGCTACACACGCACACACGCACATACACAAGCGTACATACACACGCACACGCACACCGACAGCGAGCCGCGCGCCCGCGACCCGCCGCCGCCGGTCAGTGCTACACACGCACACACGCACATACACAAGCGTACATACACACGCACACGCACACCGACAGCGAGCCGCGCGCCCGCGACCCGCCGCCGCCGGTCAGTGCTACACACGCACACACGCACATACACAAGCGTACATACACACGCACACGCACACCGACAGCGAGCCGCGCGCCCGCGACCCGCCGCCGCCGGTCAGTGCTACACACGCACACACGCACATACACAAGCGTACATACACACGCACACGCACACCGACAGTGAGCCGCGCGCCCGCGACCCGCCGCCGCCGGTCAGTGCTACACACGCACACACGCACATACACAAGCGTACATACACACGCACACGCACACCGACAGCGAGCCGCGCGCCCGCGACCCGCCGCCGCCGGTCAGTGCTACACACGCACACACGCACATACACAAGCGTACATACACACGCACACGCACACCGACAGCGAGCCGCGCGCCCGCGACCCGCCGCCGCCGGTCAGTGCTACACACGCACACACGCACATACACAAGCGTACATACACACGCACACGCACACCGACAGCGAGCCGCGCGCCCGCGACCCGCCGCCGCCGGTCAGTGCTACACACGCACACACGCACATACACAAGCGTACATACACACGCACACGCACACCGACAGCGAGCCGCGCGCCCGCGACGCGAAAAACGACTTCTGCGAATTTAACGGATCTTGCCAAGTTTGACGCCGGCAACTATACATACGCACACTCACGTACATAAGCGATATGCTCACACACGCGCATGCACGCACGCATAAATGTACATAGTCATACTTATACCTGCACGTACGCGCACGCACACGCACACTAGAACACTTACACGCACACACACACACGTGCTCACATACCAACACACTCGCACACAAGCCACTTAGCCTATAATCGATGTAAAGTAAGTAAAGTCTGTCTACGATTAGCTGCTAAGAAATAGCAGGAATTCTTTATAGCGTGATTTAAATCCTACACACGGTTTAAATTACGTTGTAAGAATATCTACATCCTCATGGATGTCGTAAGAGGCGACAGAAGCAATCTGAAATAGGAGATGGACAGCAGCCTCTTCCTGATAACAACTCAAAAGCATAAAAAAAGGTTAAGGTTGCGAACCCGCCTCCCGAGCGTGGTAATGAGGGCATCCACGACTATTTCTGCCACCAGGGCGGCGCCACTAGAAAGTGAGGTATAATATTTGACAGATTTCATAGCGGGGAAGTTAATTTGTTCGGAAAATGTAAAAGTTATTATTTCTTTTTGTAGTATTAGCTATATTTTATATTAATATCATTAAAAATAAATAAACCAAACCACAGATATTCATAAAAGTAGAAAAATTTAAAAAAAGTTAAAAGTGGGCAAAAAATTAAAGAAAAAACCTTAATAAAATTGACGCATTGTTTAGTGTGTTAATATAATACCTTAGAAGCTGATAAACTTTTATTAATAAACAACTTCTCAATTAAATTAAATTGTGTAACAAAAAACTTTACCTCACTGTCAACTAGCGACATATGGTGAGCAGATAATTATTAGCCCTCATTATGACAAAACATCAATGAGGCAATTATGAGGGAGGCCTATGTTCAGCAGTGGACTTTTGAAGGTTCTAATGGAAAATAGATGGATAGGTTTATAGCGGGGCTATTGACCATGGTATAAACATTTTGAAACGTTACAGACGCCCCGGCGACTGTCCCTCCGGAATGGCGCTCCCGGGAAGCCGAGCGAGGAAGAGGAAGAGGTGGAGGACAGCAAGAAGACCGAAGGGGAGAACAAGGACGACAAGGCGTTCCTGCAGGAGCTGAGGCAGTTCTACAAGGGGCGGAATGAGAGCTTGAAGATGGCGCCCACGTTGAAGCACTGTGAGTGGATCAATTTCATTTCTTTTCTCTTCACAATTTTTTTTGGTTTACATGGAAAGATATTGGCATCTAATGCACCTGTTATTCCATTGACATCAAAAGATTTTTATTTTATTGATGACCTGTGTGCTCGCTTGTAACCCTTATGGCTACAAACGAGCACACAGTTCAACTATGGGAGTGGATGCTGTTACCCTTGAGGATTAAGATGAAATGCCTCGTTTCCAGTAAAAAGGGTCTCCGGTTCTCTACATTCACCATACGAAACACAGCAGCATTAAACTGCTATTTTACGCTGGTATTTTGTGAGAGCGGGGTGTTTCCCTGGTCGATAGACCCATTCGTGCTATAACCATAATATCGCTGTACATGACCAAAGAAAGAAAGACTTAATAAGAACTACTTGTAACCTATCTATACAAATAAATAAAATTGAAGTGTCTGTTTGTAATGTTAAAATAACAGGTTTTTTACTAACCATATGAATTATGCATATGAATTATATACGGTACACAATTTTTTAAATTTTTGTCTATCTGTCGGTCTGTCTGTCTGTCTGTTTGTTCCGGTTAATCTCCGAAACGGCTGGACCGATTTCAAAGGGACTTTCACTGGCAGATAGCTGATGTTCTAAGGAGTAACTTAGGCTACTTATATTTGAGAAAAAGAATTAGGGTTCTGAGCAATATAATTAAAACCCTAAATTACTCGCGGGCGAAGTCGCGGGGAACAGCTAGTATTGAATAAAAAATTATTCTATTCTATTTTAGTGTCGCTACGTTCGTTGTATGTGGGCGTAGCGTCCCGCGGGGGCTACGAGGCCGTATGTCGCGCTCGCCTATGGAGGGCGCTTAGTCCAGAACAACCAGCGAGGGCTAGGAGACACTACGAGAGGTCTGTACACACCCTCGGTCTTCATTATCAGCGCGTGTAATTTTACAGCCGGCCGTAGGACTCCTCCGCTACAAGAGGTCTTCACATACCGACTGAACAGGGTATTCTTCATCAGCACGAGTAATTCCACAGCTGGACCTGGGCCTCCTCCGCTACGAGAAGTCTGTACATGCCGTCCGAACAAGGTCTTCATCAGCTTCATCAGCGAATTTAATTCCACAGCTAGGCATGGGCTTTCCCCGTTGCCGCCAGGACCAGGAGACACTACGATAATACTGTACATGCCGTCTGAACTAGGTCTTCATCACTGTTAAAGTCCTCTGCTGAACATAGACTCTTCGGCCGTTGTGGGGAAATTTTGTTAAAGTTGTTATCGGGATGAAGCTGCTGCCCATCTCCTGTTTTTCTCTTTATCGCTTCCACACACACACACACTCATGGGATGATATGAAGGTAGTGGATATGGTGGAATAATTATTCTATTCCCACACTCTCATATTATACGGCTAAAGTTAATTCTTCAATGAGGGCTAATAATCTTCCACTCACCAGATGTCCGTAGTTGTGACTGAGGTAAAGTTTTTTGTTACACAATGTCAGTTAAGGCGCAGGTTGAGCAAAATGTCGCGCTAGTCGTTATTTGTGCGGTTTTTAGGAGCTATCTACTTTTTATTTAAAAGATATATCAACAAATAAAAAACACATTATATTTCTACATAATCTTGATTCCATAAAAGCTATATCCAATTTTTTTTAAAGGAATAAATATTAATATAATCTCCTTACAACGAAACCACATAAATGTGAAATTATTATTGATAACATGCATCTCCTCGTAAAGTAAGTATTATTTTATTTTGCGATTTACACCAATGGATAGGCAATTTATTAATGAACATTTCTATAGTAAAATTTTTTTCAAAAGACCAAAATTTGATTTTATTAAGAAATTATTTTAAAATCTGGGCGTATTCACTGCTCACGGGCTTGCTGGAGTCAGTGAGCCCTGAGCTCTTCGACGTGGAACCCGTGTCGTTAGAGCGTCTGCCAGCGCCGTGTGGTGCGCTCACGTCATCTTATCAGTTGATAATATTATAATATTATTACTTATTAGGTTATTTATAGGTAGTATTATTTGTTTGTTTTGGGTATAATTTTTCGTATTAGTTATACATATATTTGTTGTGTTTTTTACTGCGCGATGAAGCTTTTTGCGTGTATTTTCTTTGAAGTAAATGCAAATAAAAAAATGAAACACCATTAGCATGTAAGGTTCGAATCCATAATTAAAATTTCGACAAATATTATAATTTACACTATAAAAGGCTAATTCAATATTATCACCCAACCACAATATCTTATTAAGTATAGTACTGCCTCGTTGGTCTAGTGGTTGTAGTAGTGCGACTGCAGATCATGAGGTCCCGGGTTCAAATCCTGGGTCGGGCCAAAAATGTCAGTTATGAGTTTTTCATTTATGTTCTAAGTTATAATTAGTATTACTAAGTTATAGTTTTTTGCTAAAATATAGTATATTATTTATTCCTTGTTTTTTCTTCTTTTTCAAAAAATAATTGAGTAAATAAGGTGTTCTATACTTATAATTCGGTAAAAAGTATCTAAGTAGGTACTAATATACCTACTTTTTACTATCTAAAAATTTTTAAAACTAAATTTAACTAAAAAGACTAAACTGACCATTTATTTTTTAACTCAAAATAGGACATGGGTTTATTTATACTCTAAAAACTATAACTTTATACAATTAGTGTTCACTGTAAAATTATATTCGGTATAGACGGTAATTATTAAATGCAACATTTTTTTTTTAAATTATTAATTACATTTGTCAGTGGATTAAATTTGCTTTAATAAAGTTGGTGATGATTTTAAATAAAAATAAAATTATGCTCAAGTTTTTTTATTGTTATCTTTGTTAACAACATCGCCTTTAGAACTCTGGAACCGTAAGTGTTTCTTTCAGACGTCCACAATTTATTCAAAATAAAAAAAATACTCTTTCTACCGGAGCATTCGTACCAGGTCGACATAAAATATATTCGATTAAAAAAAATTATGTTGAAGAATGTTGACTTTGAATACTTCCATCCAACGAGTTACGGGACAATTTTGTGTCCCGGAGCTTTGTTTGGGGACAATGGGACAGGTGACCGAGAAAAGGGACAGTCCCGTTCAAAACGGGACGTATGGTCACTTTAGCTATAACCCGGCGACGGCTCCGTGACGTAGTGGCTTAGCAATCAGTTGTTGCGCTGGGGGCCGCGGGTTCGAATCTCGCACGGAACAAATATTTGTATGGCCTACAAATAATTGTTCCGGGTCTGGATGTTTGTCCTTGTGCAATTTATGTTTGTAAACTGCCTCCACGACACAGGAGAAAATCCTAGTGTGGGGGTAACGTTTTTTTACAATTGAAATTGAAAGATTGAACCCTTATACTTCTTGTTGATTTTTGTATTAGTAGGTAGGTATATTACTTTTCAATACGTGATACGTAAAAATTAACAATAATCAAAAACACATCTACGAAACATCCTATTTATTTATTTATTCTTTATTGCACCAAATATTTGTATAAAAGGCGAGCTATCTATTTATTTACCTATAGTGAATAGGTATCTTTTAAACTCACAATTTTCAATGCTTCATTTTTAATATATAATTAATTATAAAATTTCATAATTAGATAATATATGAAAATACATAATTCTAATATAATGCAACTAATATACCGAATAAAAAAATTAAAATACATTTATCGTTGTACGCTGTGTGTATTTCCATAAATTAGTTCATTGATGTTGAAAAAATAATACTACGTTCGTACCTACAATAGGTGGTGGCGTCGTACATATTTCAAATAAGCAATATATGGAAGCGAGCGGCGTGCCGCCGGCAAAATGCTCAAGGTCGTTCGCATGGAGTAGCCCCTTAATTGAGAAATTTGTTTAAAATAATAGTTTATCATTGTTTAGAGTATTATATTAATACACAAACACAATGCTTCAGTGGTTTGATTTTTAATGTTTTGCACATTATAACTCTTTTTATTAATTTTTCTATTTTTAGTTAAATTTATAGTTTGGTTTATTTTTTTTTATTTCTAATCTAATTAATATAAAATATAACTAATAATACAGAAAAAAAAAACATTAAAGCTTACATTGTCCTAAGAAATTATCGTCCCCGCTATGAAATCTGTCAAATATTTTACTTCACCGTAAAGTGGCGCCGCATTGTTGGCAAATAAAGTCGCGGATGCCATCATGCCATCATCATTATCCGTATTTTTACTATGGCAAATCCGACAAGAGGATCATGTCCCAACAATGGACTTTTATGTGGTGATGATGCAGATATATAATTGAAGATGATGTATGGATCAACTAAGAAACCTACTTATATATTTTCACAAATTATTTCATAAAATAAAAATATTGTGGTTTTTTTTATTTTATTTCATAAACACTATTTATTTATTTATTTAACAAATACACTTACAATATACATATATGACATTGTCACAAAAACTTACGCACTTTTATATTTTCTGATATGCATATCAATTACGTGTGCATAACATTTACAGATTGAGTCGTGCAACTTAATTTAGAATTAATTTGAGGTAGGAAAAACATACAATCAATGCAATAAAATGAGAAATAATTTAATAAATTATGTTACTAAATAGGTAAAAATATCAAATGAAAAAAAAAAGAAACCATGTTCAATTATTGGGAAAGAAAAGGGTAGATATTGTACTCTCTTTAGAAGTATGTACATTTTTAATTTAAGTATAAAATAGATTCTATTAAAAATATAATTTTTAACAGGAACTAATTAACTAGGTGATAAATGCCTAGTAAGTTTAATTTTGAAGGTCTTAAAAGAGTCGTGAAATATATCGATGCTAGGTATGGTTTTAGTTATTTCGTTATATTTATATATTCTCTTAATAATATAATTCTATAAATTTCTCCTGTCTCTTCTCTCTTCAGATTTCTACTACTCTTCGAGAACCACGAAAGGGAAAACGGCTCGAAGCTATTCCAAAAGATCGCCAACGGTCTCCACGAACAGCCAAAGACGATAGACACCATAGAGGTCCACGACTCCCCGCTCCGGGAAGTTGAGAACCTGAAGGAGTTACCTGAGAAAAGATTAAGAACGCCGTCGCCCAAGATGACCGAGGAGGAGAAAACAGAGAAAATGGAAAAGCTGATCTTCGACAACGAAACCGGCGAAATCACTAAGGAGGACCTGATTATCGCTTCGAAACCGGCCGAGGAGTTGAACAGAGTGTTCCTAGAGTTTTTACCCAAGGAAGAGGAGAAACCGTTGAAGATAACGGTGAAACCTGTAGAGAAGCTGATAGAGCCAAACGTCAAATTAACTGATGACCCTGGAGAAACGAAGGTAGCTGGTGAAATACCCAACGATACGAAGCCGAACTCGAGTCAAGAGGGTGGGGTGTTCCTGAATGAGTTGGCACAAAAGTTGAATTTAGGTGAGTGGTATACTGTCATAAATGGTGAAGATTATTGTGTAGCAGCAACATACCAATAGACTAACTGTAGATCCCCCATTAGATGAAGTGACGACCTGGTCAGATATGCAAGAAGTCGATCTAAATAATGACACATTAATAGATCCTATCCAAGCGAAGCCAGGGCGGGCCGCTAGTATTAAAATAAAATGACTATTGCTAAACCTGGCAATTTTACATGTAAAAAAGACTTTCTCAAAATATCAGTGTTGCTAAGTAGAAAACAGAGTACTTTTTAATGTACTATAATGGACCACAGAGTACTTTAATTTTTTTATTAATGATTAAAATTTGAAGACAGCTTGAGTGAACTGTGATATCAGTTTGCAACCTCACCCGAAACGCCGGGTAACAACGTTTTTATTTAATTCAAAGTATAGTATTCGCGTTAATAATTTGGAATAATTGATTTCTTTTCTCAGCGAGTGCAGATGCAGCGTTACTCCAGCAGCTGGCTGTCGGAGACAGAAGAACTCTCAACGGTCACCTCACGCCTGTAAATCCAGTCCCCGCTTCACAGCCTGCTCAAAATGACCAGGTCTGTACGATTGTCGGTACCTAGCATATTACACACATGTACAACATGTTGGTCAAAGTCAACAATATATCGCATTCTGTATACATGTTAGTCAGTGTGAGTACCTACCACGCGCTATTCTGTATATTTATTAGTCAGTGTCGGTACCACATTATATTCTGTACATCATGTTAGTCAGCGTCAATGACATATTATAGCATTCCGTATGCGTGTTAGTCAGTGTGGGTACCACGCTGTATTCTGTTCATATTGTTAGTCAGTGTCGATACCACATTATACTCTGTACATTATGTTAGTCAGTGTAGATACCACGCTGTATTCCGTACATATTGTTAGTCAGTGTCGGTACCACATTATATTCTGTACATCATGTTAGTCAGCGTCAATGACATATTATAGCATTCCGTATGCGTGTTAGTCAGTGTGGGTACCACGCTGTATGCTGTACATATTGTTAGTCAGTGTCGATACCACATTATACTCTGTACATTATGTTAGTCAGCGTCGATGACACATAGCATTCCGTATGCGTATTAGTCAGTGTGGATACCACGCTGTATTCTGTACATATTGTTAGTCAGTGTCGGTACCACATTATACTCTGTACATCATGTTAGTCAGCGTCGATGCGTGTTAGTGTCAGTGTGGGTACCACGCCGTATTCTGTACATATTGTTAGGCATTGTCGGTACCATTGTATTCTATAATTCATGATATTATTTAATGTCGATGTAATTTGTATTATGTGACATTACATTTAATTTGGGTATCACATTATCATATATTTTCTTATTCTCACAGCGAAACACCCGTCCGGTGGGGCGAAGCTCCCTTCGGGCCGTCAGAGTGAAACCTGCGCGACCTCTAACGGCCACCGCTACGCGTAAGTTTCTTTTATTGACTGTTTTTTTAATTTCCCGCTATGAAAATTAATTATTTTCAAAAAATCGGGAAGTTATTGGTTTCACCCCATTTTAAAAAAATCGAGTTTTCATCAGATCTCGACGTTTTGAGGTCCTAAGAAGCAGTTTTGACTATTCCTATGAGGATGTCACTATGTCTGTATGTATGTATTTCTGTGTGTATGTAAACCTCTTATAACTTTGAACGGCTTGATCGATTCGAACGATCTTGGCGGCGTTCGAAAGAGTTTTACCAAACTTTAATACTATTTGAACCGATTCGGACCAGATTTTGGAAAACTCGAAAATAAAATTTTCGAAAAAATGCTTTTTAGGGTTCCGTAGTTACACAACAAGAAACCCCTATAGTTTCGCCATGTCCGTCCGTCCGTCCGCGGTTTTGCTCAGAGGCCCTAGGTGCTACAAATCTGTAATTTGGCATCGTTATATGCATATTAATCACGCCTGCAAAACTGTGATATAAAATCTTAGAAAACATTTTTATTTTAGGTACTTCCTATACAAGTAAATGGAGGATAATTTTTTTTTCACACGTCTATTCCATCATGTAGAGTCATGGGGTATCGTTGTATAGTTCTTTCGAAAACACTGGGAATGTGGAACATCATCTTTTGGAATCAGGGGTCCGTTTACGAAATATTTTGCTTTAAAGTAATATTTTTCATTAGTCATGTCCCCCCCCTCATACCAACTAAACTTCTGTTTTTTTATAATGTGAAAAGTATACACAATAATAGCATATATAATGAAGTTAAAAGGATTAGAAGATTAGAAAAATTAGAAAGATTAGAAGTATTCAAACAGGCCTGTTGGTCTAGTGGTTAGTGATCCTGACTGCTATGCCGGAGGTCGTGGGTTCGATTCCCACCCAGGACAAATGTTTGTGTGATGAGCACGATTATTTGTTCTGTGTCTGGGTGTAATTTATTTATAATATTTATGTATTTAGAAATATATAAGTATGTTTATCAGTTGTCTAGTACCCTTGTGTTATGGGTACTAGACAACTGACTCTGCTTAGCTTGGGACTAGATGGCGTTGTGTGATAGTTGTGGAATATTATTATTATTATTATTATTCATATAGCCTTATACATAATGATTTTTTATATTTACGCGAGCACTACACATTTAAACAAAACTAGTTTTACGGATTTTATCGCGTATATTAACTTATTTTATATTCCCGACGTTTCGAGCACTTTTCAGCACCCGTGGTCACGGGGGGACTGTGGTGTATGACGTTCCAATATCATAGTTAACCACGGCTACCTCCAAATTAAAAATTATTAATTTTTGTTCCGATCTACGCAGTATTTTGAAGTCTTGCAGTTGTATACTTGGGTTGGGATTTAATTTTATTAATAATGGGATCCCAAGCAGATGGTAGCACCCAGCCATCTTCTCTATTGAAATTAGGATGTTTTTTGATTTCAATAGCCTCGCGAATGATCCTTATCTTACACAACGTTATTTGCAGCGTGACTCTACCACGTTAAATCCTTATTCTATAAAACAATAGTAACGATGTCGTTAACATCATGTGCAATGTATTAAATAATGTTTGTGGGACCGTGTGCAGCGAGCGTGGGGCCGGTGCCCGCGGCCGCGGCGCTCAACAACTTCGGCATCCACCGGCCGCCGCACGCCGCGGACGACGACATCGTAGAGGTACCGCATCGCATACCACTACTCACCACTACCCACTATTACCATCACCCAACACTACTACCACCTACCCTACCACCCACTACAGCTTCTACCACCACCCACCTGTACAACCACTACCACCACCACTCACCACCAACACCACCCAACACCACCCACCATCACTACCACCACCCATCCACCACTAACACCCAGCACACATCCACCACCAACACTCCCCACACACCCACCCACCACCAACACTCCCCACACACCCACCACCAACACTCACCACACACTCACCAGCAACACTCACCACACACCCACCACCAACACTCACCACACACCCACCACCAACACTCACCACACACCCACCACGAACACACCATAACTAACCACTATTCACTAGCACCCACCATTATCACTCATCACAATTTAATTTACCATCACCGGGCGCAACTGTCACTAACTGCAACCCACCATAATTCTCTACTACTCACCGTCCCCGTTCACAATCATATTTTACTTTTACATTATTTAAAGTTATTTTACATACTTTTTTTACTTATGATTTTTTGGTACAAATTACTCAGGAGTTACTCATTCTGGAGGACATAATTTTTTTTTACCTATTATAAGCCAGTGCTTGACCAAAATCCCACCTGGTGATAAGCGGTGATGAAGCCCTAGATGGTTAATCACTGTCTTAGCTTTTAAGAAAAACCTATTCACTCTTACTTTGAACGCGCTCAGATTGTATTCGGACGGAAAGATAAAACGCCGGCAAATCATTCCACTCCTTTGCTGTACGCATTACAAAGAAAAAAGCAAACCGTTTGGCTCTAACGCGTGGAATATCGACAACAAAGGGACGAAGACCCGCCGAGCGCCTGGTTATCCTATGGTGGAAAAGAGAGGGGAGAATTAAAGCGTATAATTCCTGCGCACACTCACTGAGAATTCTATTATAAGCCATATTTGACTTTATATTATAATTATAACATTGTCAGTATAATCACAGTTGCCGTTTACACTTACCTATAATACCTACCGTATCAGAAAGACCGCAATAGTCCCAAAATTCTACTTGAAACCGTTGTTGAGATACCAAAGTGGCAACTCATACTAATTAACATAATGTTACGTTGGATTGCTCTTTTCAGCATAATGAAGCCTTTGACAGATAAGTAACTCTTCTCTATTGTTCGCAGATACCCTACAAACCAAAATCGCCAGAAATAATAGACCTTGATGAGTACGCAGAGAGTCCGCAAGGAATCAAAAAGAAGAAACTCGACATCCTCAAAGAGCGGGGTCTAGAAGTGACAGCTGTCCCACCGGCCTGGCCGATACAACCAGTTCTCACTAATCCCATAACGCCGCTAATAAACCCTAGTCCCATAATCCTGAATCCAGCCATGCAACACCAAATAATGACGCAAGCTCAACTATTTCAAATGTACAACATAATTCCACCAAACATACCCAATGGCGTTCAACCCCCCAAAGTTATACAGGCGACCAGCATCTTCGGGTCTTCCGGGCCCGAGAAGACTGTCTACGGGAACCCAAAAGACCCTTTCATGTCCCCACCTCACATCCTCCACGGCACCACAGTTAAGCCGCAAAGAAGTATCCAGACCCCAACAACGCCACCGCAAGATATCCTCGACCTGACCTGCAAATCCCAAACCCCACCACAAAAGCCGGCGGTTAAAATAGTCCGGCTACCGTCCTCCCCACCAAAAACGCCAACAGCTCAAAACCTATCAAAGAACTACACCCTACTCGACGGGAAAGCGGTAGTCGGTTCGAACTTGGAAATCACTCTAGTCAACCCCAAATTCCAAACTCCGCCCAAGAGACCGCCGCAAAAGCGCTGCTCCAACGGGAAATTTATGTCAGCGAAAACCCCCACACCGTCGAAAGATTACACCAAACCGTACCCACCTCCATCCCCCTCGGGGTTGCAAAAGAAGAACCCGATCGTGGTACCAAACTACCAAGTCAATTCGACGAGAGACGACACGTACCCAAGTTCCACCGGCTCCAGGTACTCCCAGACCAAAACTCTACCGAGTAACCCCCCGAAGGCTCAGGACAGCCTCGCACAGATCATAGAGATGCAGAAATCAGTTCCCAACATCACCCCGTTCATGGACCCCGTGTACATGAGCGCCCTCTACAGTAGCTTGGGCCAAATGGACCACAGGCAACTGGCCATGTACAGGGACTTCATGGCCAACCAGTTTAGAGGGTACTCTGGCCTGTTGAATATTGGAACGCCTACAACGAAGAATTGATTTTAGATTAATCTAGTCTTAGTGCCCGTTACGCCACGTTATATATTATATATTGTTATGTTGTTTGGGGAGGGGGGGGGGGCAGCGATATTTTCGTTAGTAAATATGGGTCTACAAATCCAAATAAATTAAATTGAAGTTATGAATAAAGATCCATAAATTCTTTATTACGGTTTTGTTTTTGATTAAACACGAAAAAGGTTAATAAAATGTTTTTTTTTTACTTAATTTTGTGGGTAGTAAAAATTTGTTCAATATAAAAAAGTCAAGGTCAAATATTTTTATTTTAAAAGCGCTTCTACTGCGGGGATAATAGACCTTGTGAAAAGAAGCGGCAACAAACTCACAAGTAGAGTTAATATTTATAATTTCGCTCAAGTCGATTGACGGCATAATTATTGTATCAGGTTCGTTTTCCGCTGTGAACGAATATTTTTTATAGGCTACCAAAATTTTTTTCTGGCCTCGATATTTGTCTTTATACAATTTATATATATAAGACACCTCAAGAAATAAACAGTATCAATTAATAAAAAAAACGTTTCGCTTAAGTGGAAACTTGCCAAAACACTACTAAAGTAGATTCATATTGTCAAAATTAAAATCAATTAAGTTTCAAATATTATATTTCTTTAAATGGTGACATAATTATTATTTTATAGAATAAGGGTGACAAACTAGCACAGAGTTCACCTTATGAAAAGTGGATACTATGGCATGTAGACATCTACATTTATCCTCAATAAATACTCAAAATGCATTGTCACTCCTGAGGACTAACATGAAATGCCTCGTTTCCAGTAAAAAGGTTCTCTCTGTTTCTCTCACCATACGAAACTCAGCAACATTAAACTGCTATTTCAAGCTGGTATTATGTGAGAGCGTGGTCCTACCCCGGTCGAGCCGACCCATTTATGCTACAACCATAATATAGCTCTACCACGTACAAATATGATAAATTCCAACGCGGCCCCCACGTGGCAGTAACGGGTGTGGTTTTTTGTGATAAGGCAACTTTGCGTTACGGGCGACAATGCCAATGATCTCCCGCGAGATGCTGTCTATAGAGTGGGAACAATGATTTCCTTTACAGCTGTGTAAAATATTAGATGTAATTTTTTTTCCTATAGCCTCTAAGTCTTAGATAAGACACCTAGCTAAATTCTAGATTAATGTTGATCGTTATAGGTTATGTTTTTCTAATATGGAATTTGTACACAGGGTTGTGAGTCGCGTTTCGTCTCGCTCTAGCGCGGTACGTGTGAACGGGACGGACGCGTTATCGTTGAGATGTTGTGTTGGCACTATGTAAGATAATTGATTGCCGTACAAATAAATATTTAAAAAATGAACGAGTTTTTCTTAATTTAAGTATATCAACCAGTTTTCGAATATTCAACGATCAGTGCGTGTTGTCAGTGATGACGTAAGGGATCAGAGACATGATGCCCCTACCTCTGGCTGTCTCAAGTGAGCGCTCAGCGAGCTATGAAGAGATACGCTCGGAGTTTCCCTGTATTATCTGATATCCACAGAGTACAACAATAAGCTGAAGGCAATAGGTCTGCCATATTGAGCGAAAAACCTACAACGGACAAGAAAAAATGGCAGCCTAGTATCGTAAAGCGAAGTGTTGGCCGACCCCCAACTAGATGAAGTGGGACCGTGATTTGTGGCATTCCTTAAACTATTCACTACTAGCGATCCGTCCTTTGTTTGAATGGAAAATTGTGGAGGAAGTGTTGAGGTGACTAGCTCATCGGCCAGACAATCACAAATCCAATATTAACGACATGCTAGGTAAATAGTTGCCACATTGTTTTTATATATTAGCGACCCGCCTCAGCTTCGCACGGGTGATTTCTGATCCCGACAACAGCACTGCCTACCGGGTTCAATTGCGAATCGTTTAGCATTATTAGCAGGGGCTCAAACACAAAAAAAATCATCAAAATCGGTCCAGTCATTTTCGAGATTTTGCGAGATTAGCGGACTGCAATTGATTTTTATTTATAGAGATAAGTTATTAACTTTTAAAATCCATGCTGGTCTGAGTTTTACACCACCAGGACCGGGTCTTAAAGTACTTAGAAAAATAGAGCAATAAGTCGTCCTAATTAAAGTATTTCAGTTGTATGTTAATCCAGAACACTGCTGGGCCTCGTCTCATGTCCGAGAAGATATGATAGAACAGTTACTTCGCTTCGGTGCTTCCAGTGCATGTCATGATGCGAGTGCAATCATTACAGCCCAAGCCCACTGCTGAAGAGGTCTCCCCCAAAGAATACCACAAAGCACGGTCCTAAGCCACCTGCATTCTCATCCAGGGTGAACTTTATGTCCTCGAAAATATTTTTTGATTTATCAATAATAGATAAAATATTGATATTGGCAGGACTATTTATAGAAATAAATAAAACAATTTAAATGCAAACATTCTTTATTAAGAACTTTAAAAAAATATAGAGTAAAATAAATTAATATTCAAAACGAGGAAACTTCTAGAACTCGTCGTGGAACGGGTAGTCTGGATGGTGGACGCTGAAACAAATTATTTAGGATTAGATAAAATTTGAAAAAATGCCAGTGCGTGAGAGACAGTGCAAATTTACAAGTGCTTGACGTCACCAGTTCTTATGCAATAAAGTGTTTATGAGCCTCATAGACATCTACATTTATAAATCAAATGCATTGTCACCGCTGAGAACTAAGATGGAATGCCTCATTTCCAGTAAAAAGGGTCTCCGGTTCTCCACACACCAAACGAAACACAGCAGCATTAAGCTACTATTCTGTGAGAGCATGGTCCTTCTCCGGTTGACAGTCGACCCATTCGTTCTACAACTATAAGTTTAGCTGCAGCAGCAGCATAGCTCTACCACGTTTAAAATAAGTTGGAAAAAGTTCAGACTGCGAAATACCGAAAAGAAACAGAAAATAAATCAATGACCTCCACAAATAAAAATGTGAAAAGTGGGACAAGTTCAACACTAAACGATGATGAATGAATTCACATTTGAACGGGTGCCAAGCACCATAGCAGTTGGTTAACCGATTCGTTACAAATATTTCATGACACGCCGGGCGTGTCAAGCGCCACAGACAAATGGAAGGATACTTGTTTTTAGTGGGTAAGTACGTGTTTTTTTACGCGTTTTCTTTGAAATTGAGGGAAAGTGACTTTTTTTATGAAGAGATTACAAACCTTTTGTACTATTTTTTGTTGTTATAAAAAAATCATTTATATAAAAGTGGGTACAGCTAAATCACCCTGGAAACCTTGGTTTTTATTAAATTAAATTTACACCTAATAATAACATTTGTAAATATCAAACAATGAAGAACCTTAATTTGAAAAAAAAATAAGGTAATTGATATTTACAAATGTTAAATATTATTTAATGTTATACAAATGTAAAAGTAAAGTCGATCTGAAAACGTCTAATTAGTAAGAATAGCAAAACAAGTGTTTTCAAAAGGAAAAAAACGCCGGCGCTATACGGCGGCGGGTTGACAAAAGACTATTTATTAGCGAACTTTTTTTTAAGCATGAACGGTTTCGAACTATTTCAAGCAAAAATAAATCTTATACCATATCACAAAAGCACATGGTATTTCGTAGGTCTATTCGGCCATATGATAGTAATAAGACGGCAATTCAACCATTTTAAGCAAAATTAAACAATAAGACAAACTCATTGTTTTTTTTTTAACAGGAGACTTGTTTTCCAGAAATTTATTTACAACTTGAGTTTGTGAGCGATCGCAATGAGTGCTATTATTTGTTACTTATTAGACAATTTTTCCATAACATGATTTAAAACCCACAAAGTAAAAATAGTACCATGTACACGTTAAAAAAAGGTTGTCAACCCCTAAAAATTTCTAATTTTCAAAATATCCAGAAACGAAGCTGCATGCATGAACTACTCGCAAAATAATGAATATTTTGTTCTGGATAAATTTTCCACAAAAGCAATTTGAGCGAGTTATAACGATTTTTAAAAAGACACGACTCGCGTGTCATACGCCACACACAAAAGTAATCGATGGCACGCCTGGCGTGTCATCCGCACTGAACCGGTTAATTTATACCTAAAGGAATGCACAAAGATCTATTATTATATAAATAAAAATTTCTTACGTTCTTTTATATTGAAATTATAACTTAGTAAATTTTAATAGTTAATTATTTTTTATATATAAGACCGGTCATCGTTTGCCTTCTCTTATATGCGATTCAACTCATGGCTATGTGACTACCTTAACTGCAACACCAAAGGAATCTCTGGTGCGTTACCGATCTTTTGAATAGATATTATAGTCTAAAACTTTGGATATTATGTAATACAATATCACGCCCTTTGTGTTACCCTATTTACAATTAAAATTGAATAAATATATTTATATTATTTTTTATGTACTTTGAACGTAACTTTTTTAACTGTTTTATTTTACACACAATTTAGTTGGACACTGTTGAAATCCCACCGGGAGTTAACGTTCGTGCATACACATAAATGCTCGCTACTATGGGAAAATTCAAAAATATCTTATGCCTTTCGCTAGATGGCGGTGTAACTATCATATAAATTAATTCATTATCCTATCAAAGTCCACACTGGCCTTCCTAGATTGCCTCATGGGGGAATTGCCATAGTTGCCACGATTGCCAGGCCTGCAACTGCAGCTTAGATGCTAATAGACTAATCGTAAAAGACTGATTGGATATTGGATTTGTGATTGTGTAGACAGGAGTTCCCAAACTTTTAAGGTGATGGACCTCACCGAATCCCTTTTATTTTATGGAAACCCACATCAAATGATTACATATCATAGACAGTGCAATTGAAATATCATATATATTTCTCGCCAACTTACTACATATCTATAATATAATAGTAATGGGTTCCTCTCATCACATATTTTGCACCGATTCAAAATAATATTTGTACCAGTGTGAAATTCTTTTTTTTTTCTTTCTTATTTAAAAAAAAAAACGTTACCCCCACACTAGGTTTTTCTCCTGTGTCGTGGAGGCAGTTTACAAACATAAATTGCACAAGGACAAACATCCAGACCCGGAACAATTATTTGTAGGCCATACAAATACTTGTTCCGTGCGGGATTCGAACCCGCGGCCCCCAGCGTAACAACTGATTGCTAAGCCACTGCGCCACGGAGCCGTCAATTAAAAAATTATTTAACAAGCAGAAATAAATATATTTCGCGGAACTCTGGTGACATTTCTACGGAACCTTTAGGTTCCACGGAACATACTTTACGAATCTTTTATTTTTTTTAGAAGGGTAGGTCACCAATATATAACAGCTGTTTAACTAGCTCTTATATTTTATTTTATTTTAAAATATCCATAAACAAGTTTTGTTATATATATAACTACTAAACAATCAGTGATTAGTTTCTGTATGGATTAAGTGTAAAAATATGAACATTTAGAGAAGTATGACACTCATTTGTACCTCCCATTAGTGATACTTTATTGCTACCAACTTCCTAAGTTTCCATCTCACTTTGTTACAACTGTTTAATTGTAAACATAATGGCAAATGTTACTGAAGTGGAGAACATACAGAAGGAGTTTGAAGAATGCTGGACCCGTAAGATGATAGAATTTGAAAGCAGATTAAAAGCTGCATCTACACCAACTAGTTCAACCCTTATTCAATTTCGTGATGAGTTTTACACTTTCAAGGAGTTGGTGGGCTCAATGTTTAATCTTCTCCGACAGCAGGTACGTGCTTGTTTACAGTCTATTGATGCAATTGATATGAGACATAGACAAAAGATTCTGCTATTCAGTGGTATTCCGGACACAGCAAAGGTTGATGCAGAGAAAGAGATCCTGTGTCTTTTACACAACAAACTAGATATTCCACATGTGACAAATGCTAGTATCAAGTGGTGCCATCGAATCGGAGTTAAAAAAAATGGTCACACACGGCCAATTCTCACCCAATTCAAAGACTATCACACAAAGCAAGAGGTTTGGATTGCTAAGACCAAATTGAAAAGATCTCATGTTACAGTTACAGAGTTTCTTACAAGAACAAGGCAATCCATATATAAGAAAGCCCGTAAGCACTTTGGTATAAAGAAAATGTGGACACTTGATGGGGTAATTTATGTCAAACTGTACAGTAATGAAAGGGCGAAGATCTCCTCGGATGAAGAGTTGGATATTCTTATTGAAAAATTTCCTGCAATTAGCTCTCCAGCTACTTCTGGCTTGTCTTCTGCAGATATTGACACTAGAGCCATTCGTATGGTATCCAAACTGACCCCACAAAGCCCTACTGTAATGAATCGTCAAGTTGAAAC